GCGGCGGCAGCGATGAAGTTGTAGATAGTGTCAACTTGTCTGGTCATATCAGCGCCGATTTCGAACTCAATCTCAGGTATCTCGACGTGAGCATAGGAGCTCTTCAAGAAGGTGGTCCACAACTGCTTTCGATCAATAATATGTAGTGTCATCTTCTGAGGTCGGCCCCACGTAGACTTATCCTGACTGGAATTATCCATCATTCGCTCAGTATCTTTCATTCCATTAGTGGCTCACTCCTCCTTCAATGCAATAGGCTTAAAGTACCACTTGCCATCCTGCTGCTCCTCCATCTCAAACTGAGGCAACTTGGACAGGAAGTCCCTGAAGCTACCTATGTGAACAACAACAAGAATAAGAACGACAGATACAACAACAAGAAGGAGATTTCAGCATTGGCATCAACCAGCGAGGCGCTAGTAGTAATGTATAGCAGCTCACCTTTGATAGCATCTTCGAACTCATCCTTATCCTCATAACCCAAGCTATTACACAACCACTGAATACCATCATCAAGAGGAATCCAAGTATCCTACACGCGATCCTCTACCACACAGCTGTCCGTCACGCGCCACGAAATACCTCAGGACATGTCGAGCAGAACTTCTCCAACTCCAACATGATCATTGACATCTCCTGGTGGGATACATCAATCCGGAAGGCATCAAGCTCGTTATGCTTAGGACTACTTGTACTGTCCTTAGCATCCGAGGCGTAGGGGTTAAGACTGTGATGAGACATAACGGTAACTGAACCATACATCCTCTCTTCAACACAACACAGGCCCTGCAACTGCGAGGATAGAAACGTGGTGGTGGTGCTCATGGAATACACGCCGGAAAGCATTTGCGGTGATTATCGGATCTTCCTACCCGACAAATTGCTGTGCTGTTTCAGCTTACCCCTGCAGCATCTGAATGCTACTACAACCAACACAACAGTTCAACTGTTGTTAACCTACTGTGCCATGGCCCTCTCGATGATGGCACTCCCCTGTGGCCACCTAACTGAGGTCCCCGCTCCATGAACACTTGCTGACCTGTCTTCAACCGTCTAACGCGGATCCCCCAGGGCACAAGATGTCTCCCCATCTGCGGTCACCCTTGGCCACCTTAGCAAGACTAGCCGCCTTGAGTTTGGTGATATATTCGCGACAAACACGGAGCCCCTCAACCTCGGCGTTCAACAAAAGATTCCATCCTTCTCTACCACCAGGCCCAAACCGCACCAACTAGCCTTCCTGACATCAGCATTAGGATGCTGCTTCAGCTGGTGCCTCATCATCAGGCTCCTGGACACTTCTCATCTTCCCCTCGAGCAGGCGGGCCTCACTAAACACCTACCCTAACAACAAAAAGTGCGGCGCTGTCCTCAGCTGAGCTGTCGCGAGTCGTCACTGATCATAGGTGTCTACACACGACTCTGGGTAGAGGTGTGAGAAACCAATAAGAAAATTCCGAAATCTCCTTAGAATGTTCATATTATCACCAACACATGTAGTTGACCATGTGCATACATGTGCCGCACTGAGCTCAAGTCCCGACCTGTCTCGAACAAGTAACGTGATAATGAGGAAGCAATATTGTTGAGGGTAGCAGCTGCATCATACATCATATAAACACAGGGTCAATCACGCTTTCGGAACTATCGCGACTCCTCAGCAGAGTTCGTTATTCCATTCGGGACGGCTTCTGGAGAGGAGGCCGACTCCCCTTGCGAGTCTTGGAAGCTGGAGTTGGGCTCGTTCATCATCCTAATGCCTTTGCCAGTCAATCGATACCTGCACTTGAGACAATCTCACAAGAGGCCTTTTCACAATCCTACTACTACCTCCTAGCTGGTCCTTCTTCACCAAGGACCTCTACCAAACCCATTGGGGCCATCTCAGCTTCCAACCACCACATCGGCACCCAACCAGCAACCAGTTTCCAATCAGCCTGTGTCACTGGCTTAGCATTGCACAACGTGGCCTGAGTGATCCCATATCAGCGTATTCAATGACAGTGGTTGCTCACTTCGAAGAGGCTTCTCAGAACTTGACGATAGTCGCGGCGCTTGCCGGGCTTCAGGACGCGTTTGTCCCATCGTTCCATAAGGCAGTTCTGACAGTTACTAGTCATCTCAGGGTTGATGGTGTGACATGTATCGCATTGCCAGCGTCCTAGGTCTGAGCAGCAGTCAAGAGTAGCGATAACGGTAGCATGGCATGAATTCATCAATCACCCGCAGGAGTGAATCTATGGTCGACTACTGTATGCGTCATGAAGAGGAAGCGCTCGTAGATTACGTTCATCTCAATACTATCAAAAGCTAAGACCCGGAAATTGGGCACTGACTCCTGAATCTGAGATAAGATGGAATGTAAGGATGTTCCAATCAAGGGTTCAACACACTTTCTTGAGCCACTCCGAGCACGCCCCGCAGGGCCATAAGGGATTGTCAGTGTGACCATCGTTCATCTTGGTAGGCACGTCGATGACTGCGATGCCCATAAACATTCCCCTGTTAATCCTGGGATGCACCGAGCGTGCATGCGCAATAGCTGCACGTTCGCTGCATAGGGATCCCGTGGGTAGAGACACTTCACCATTGATGCCCTCGAAGAACTCGTCCCGACCGTCTTCCATGCGCACGTGGAGCATAGAGAGCACCAGCTTACCGCTCTTTCGGTGAAAGAAGGGGTCGGGTTGGAAGCCATCAGCTGTGGTTCTCTCCATATAATCGCGTAATTTATTAGCAAGAACTGCTGTTGGATCGGTGTCTGGGATGTCGTGGTACTGTCGCATTCGAACGTACCTGAACTGTCCTTTTCACCACTACAGCATCGATTCCTCTCACTACTCCTTGGTGACAGTCCACATATCATGAATGTCAGCCATCTCCCTGTCACCACTCATGGTCCCTGAGGTTTGCTTCTGAAGAAATGACCAGCATCCCTTGGTTGGGGGAATAAAGGTGGCTACGCCTTACTCTAAGCAGCAGTTCCTCGGCCCCCTTACTCGAAGAACACGACGAAGCACTAGTAGTCTCCGATAGAGGAGTCTCAGGATGACTCATGACCTCTTTAATCACTAGGGCGGTAGACTGTTGTTCCCCGGGAGAGACTTCGGCGTTTTAACACGTGTAAAAACGTCTCAAGGCAAAGGTAGGAACTGAGAAACCGCTCAAGATACCAAGATGAAACGCGTTCATCGGTGGTGAATCACTTCTTCGGTACGGGTGGTGCAACTAAGGTGAGTCACAATGCTTAAGAGCTTACAAAAGTATCCTCTCAAGTCCACTATAATTTTCCGTATAGGCAGCGGTGTATAGATTATTCTTTCTGTTTATTGGTTCTGCACCAGAGTCTGATGACCAGACTCTCCCCTAATTGATCCTCGTCGTATCCGTAGTCCTTCCGAAGGACCATTGTTAGTCTCGTTATCCCTATTCGGAGTCCGAATAGGGGCGTACTGAGGATACGAATTTCGGACCCTCAGTACGCAGAAAGCACTCGATCTGATATTCGATATAGTCCCTCTCAGATAGCATCTCGCTTCATGTCCGACTCCGTCTTAACCGACGTGTTCGCCGTGGTCCCGCCTGTCCTAGGCATGTTGTGGGCGGTTAAGGAGTTGATGGTCCTCAAGAGGGTTCACCTCACCGGTCCTGCCCAAGGCTCTGACCTTAAGACTAGGCTTATGGCTGATGGGTCGACTGACATTCAGAAGACGTTGGATTTGATGCAAGAGATTTCGAGAAACATCGCTGAGGGTGCTACAGCTTTCCTCATCCAAGAATACAAGTACATGCTGGTCTACGTTGTCATCTTCAGTGCCATCATTGGTCCTTGTGTGAATGTTGGCACGATGATATCTTTCATTGTGGGTTCACTTACCTCCATCGCTTGTGGCTACATCGGTATGAAGACAGCCGTATTCAGCAACGTCCGCACAGCACACGAGGCTTGGAAGGATCTTGCTTCGGGTTACGATGTGGCTATCAGAGGTGGCTCCGTCATGGGATTTATGCTGGTCTCTCTTGGTGTACTAAACCTCTTCATCCTGGTCTCTATCTATAATCTTGATGTCTTCTATGGTGGGGATCATCCCACTCTGTACGAGGCCATCGCTGGTTATGGTCTCGGCGGCTCTTCCATCGCTCTCTTTGGTCGTGTCGGTGGTGGTATCTACACCAAGGCCGCTGATGTTGGTGCTGATCTGTCGGGTAAGAATGAGTATGGTATGGACGAGGATGATCCGAGGAATCCTGCCTGTATCGCTGATAATGTCGGTGACAATGTTGGTGATGTTGCTGGTATGGGTGCTGATCTTTTCGGGTCCTTCGCGGAGTCGACCTGCGCTGCTATGGTTATATCAGCTAGTGCACCACATTACATGGAATGGAAGAGTATGTTGTTCCCTCTGTTGCTATCATCTGGTGGTATTGTTGTTGGACTAATCACAATGATGGTAGTCAACATATTCTATAAGGTCAAGGATCTTCCTGATATCGAGAAGGCTTTGAAGGGCGTGCTCGTCATATCGACCATCCTCGAGACTCCGCTCGTCGCTGTACTTTGTTGGTGGGCTCTCCCCGCTGGCCACTTCGCAATTGATACTGTTCGTTTGCACTGCACTTGGGCTAACTGCTGTGCATCTGTTCTCCTCGGTCTGTGGTCTGGTCTCATTATCGGATACAGCACAGAGTATTATACGTCTCACTCGTACACTCCCGTTCGTGAAATTTCAGACACCCAGAAAGTTTCAGCTGCGACTGGTATCATATACGGTCTGGCTCTGGGATATCTTTCATGCATCATTCCGGTACTTTGTCTTGCTGTCACAGTGTGCATCGCTCACACTATAGCTGGTATGTATGGCGTCGCTCTCGGTGCATTGGGAATGCTCGGCACATTGAGTATGGGTCTCACTATTGACGCCTATGGTCCCATCTCCGACAATGCTGGTGGTATTGCCGAGATGTCTGAGTTGGGTCCGGAGGTTCGTGCTAGGACCGATGCATTAGATGCTGCTGGAAACACTACTGCTGCTATTGGCAAGGGATTTGCAATTGGATCCGCGGCTTTGGTTTCCCTTGCTCTATTTGGTGCTTACTGTGTTCGTGCTAGAGTCGACACTGTCAACATCCTTGATCCTTGGACTTTCACGGGCCTTCTCTTCGGTGCTATGATGCCCTATGCTTTCTCTGCTATGACCATGAAGTCTGTCGGTAAGGCTGCTAATGATATGGTTACGGAGTGCATGAGGCAATTCCCCAAGATCATTTCTGGAGAGATGCGTCCACAATACACTAGGTGCATTGCCATATCTACCGAAGCCTCGCTCCGGGAGATGATAGCACCTGGTTGTTTGGTCATCCTATCTCCTCTCATTGCTGGTTTGTTGTTCGGCAAGAACTGCACCGCTGGTCTGTTGTCCGGTGCGCTGGTCTCGGGCGTACAGATGGCTATCTCCATGTCCAACACAGGTGGTGCTTGGGATAACGCTAAGAAGTACATCGAAGCTGGTGGCCTTGGTCCAAATCATCAGAAGGGATCTGCTGCTCACAAAAACGCTGTCACTGGCGACACTGTTGGTGATCCCCTGAAAGATACGTCCGGTCCATCTATTAATATCCTCATGAAATTATCGGCTATCATGTCTCTGGTCTTCGGGGGAGTTATCAGGAGCTTTTCGAACGCGGAGGGTGGACCGTTCTGGCTATAAGTTATGTTAGGTATGGAGCTGTCGTCATGGAACTGGCGAGACAATTACGTCGTATTAGTGAGCCTAGCTGGTATCGTCTAACGCGCACCGATTTTTCTTCTCATACGCGCTGGTGCTGTTGAGTTCATTAGTATCGTCGTCGTAGTTAATGCTATGATTTGACAATAAGCTGTATTAGGAGGCGAGCATATGGGTCTACTCACAGAACTGGTGCAGTGAACGTTGCGAATCAGTTATGTCTCATGGAATGTAGCAGGGGAAATGAATGTGTCACATTTGCTAATCGCGGAGTAATGCTATGTTGGTACATTGAGAACAGATATCGACGCTGCATGCTCCGGCTGCTTCACCATGGTCATGATACACATTGTCGAATACTCTTCTCCCACGGCCTAACTTCGCTGACCCTCGGAAGGTGATACGATTTGGAGTGTATTCAACCATTCACAACCTGTACAAGTTGCCGCGTTTCCTCCTCAACATACTTAGCAGTAGCCACAACGATGAGCGCGGGGGAGATCGATCAAGCCGGTCTGTCGCCGCAGCATACTCCGTAGCAACATCACCCCCACTAGTAAGCTAAACGACTGTGATCCAACTTGAACGAGCAGGGCCGGTATGCGGATCCTGATGCACGCGTGATCCCGATAAAAAAATCACGTCATAAGATCAATGTGATGAATTTATGACATGAACCTGATTTTTTTGCTCAGATCAACAAAATTGGGATCATGGGACAGGATCATAGATCATTTTCGTGATCCGTAGATCACATCACCCATGATCCTGTCAGTTTTCGGTCCAAAACTGACAAAACTTTTGGATCGGGATCGTAGATCATGGATCAGTGACCTAAGATTGATAGATCACGACTCATGATTCATCAGTGATCCAATCACGGTCGATCACTTCACATCGTGGGCTAGAGGTTCCACTACTACCACTACTACTAGGCCACCTACTACTACTACTACAGGGGTGGATAATAGTAAGACGACCACAACTACTACCGGTGCTGTCAATAGTAATACAACTACCACTACTATTTGGCAGTCAATACACCGCCACTATTTAGTGGTTCATATAATTTGTAATCGAGTTTCGGTACTTGTTGTTGTGTTCAGACTGGTCTCCATGTTATTTCATTAGGTTTTTTTGACAGTGTCAAATGAGTTACAGAGTGACAGCCTGGCGTTACGCGCAATGGCCTATATATCCATTATTATATAATCGTCAGTATGAATTTCTTAATAGTCCATCTACTACCAGGTCGTCTACTACCAGGTCGTCTACTACCAGGCCATCTACTACCAGGCCATCTACTACTAGG